CCCATTGTCCCCTATACTCTGCAGTAGTGTTCCACTCTAATGACCAGTCCCTTATTGCACCTTAATTGGAAGAAGGCAGGTTATGAAAGCACTTTGTTACTGAGGATGGCACTTGTGTCAACAAAACGGGTACTTTGAAATAAACCAGTTCTGAATGAGAGAATTTCTCTCTTCTGTCGATGGGGTAGATGTTCTGCTACTGTACTGACCTCGTTCAGGTTAGAATGACAAGCTGCCGAATCAAATAAAAATAAATAAAATCGGAAATATGCAAGTTCAGATGGGATCAGCAACAAACATGTTGGGAATTCTCAAATACTAAAATAATCGATATAATTGATTGTACTTGAAGTAAAACCTAGTGATTTGTGTTTGTTCCTAATTGTTAAAAAGGCAACACGGAAGAATGATAGGTACTGCGCGCGCGTGTGTGTGTGTGTATGTGCACACGTGTGCTCTTACACTGGCTGACAGGCTGGAGGGTCTTGGGACAAGCTTGGATAAACAAACTTTATGTCTAGCCCATCTGTTCACCAGCTCCTCTCATAACTACAGGTGTTCTCTGAGGAACCACAGTGATAATCAGTCCATGGTACCATCGAAGCAAAAATTCCTTGTTGTGAAACAACTCATTGGACAGTGTGGCTTGTTTACTTCACTGCTCTCTTGGTGCAGATTTGCACAAATTTCCGTTTGCTTTCTGGCAAAATGCATGGCCTGGTGTGACTAAAAGTCTTTGTCTTTGTTAATAATTAGGATGGGCTTCACTATTGCACAGATTGACTCCCCCCTCGGCCTACCCGGTTTGGGATGCTGATGTGTAGTGGTACTTGGGATAGACTTTGTGTGCCAGATTTCGGACCTGCTGAGACCTGTGAGCCATCTTAAACGTGTGTGTTGATGGACCTTTATATTTCTCAAAATGACCTGTGTTGTTTGTTTATTAACCAAAGCTTAAATCCGGAGTCTTAGTCCAGTTTAGTCTTAGTCCAGAATTATTAAACTCATGTCTATAATTTATCCAGAATGGGCCTCCCTGACTAAGCCACGCACAGATGCCCCATTTGATTTGATGTGTGTGGAGTCATGCAGACATTTACTTGAGTTTGTTTTCTCTTGTGTTTTCCTCTCTTGAGGACAAGGTATAATTTGTTTTCTTGTGTACACTTGTGTATCTTAACTCTCTGTTCTACAGCTATTTTTGTTCTAGCAGTTTTACATGGCTGTGCGTTAAATTGTGTGTCGGGGGTTCAGGGATTTAAATGTTTTTTTTTCTTCTTTTTGCTGTGCCAGGAGGGTGGGGTAAATGGGTGCATGGGTTGGGTAATGGATATAAAGCCTGATAGCACTGGAAATGGTGCTTTTAGCTGAGAAAGCGAAAGTTTGCACTAATGTTAAATGTCCTTGTCCTGCTTAAGGTAGAAGAGCAGGAGACTTTGTCAGCTCAGAGCTGCATGGTTACTACTCAACGTTTTCTTGGAAAAACGAGTCCATCCAACTCCTCCATTAAAAGAAAATGTACAACGCAGTACAGCTGTCCAACAACAGATACCAAAGGAGAAAAAATGGCTTCTATTCAGGTCGTCGGACATTAAGCTAGAGTTTAACTGTTGAACCCGAAGGCTCTTGAAAAGAGATTCTGGAGACTAGAAATTGTGTGAAATCAAAAATAATATCTGCTTTTATATTTAGAAAAATATTCCACATGTTAAGCATTTAGACTCTTAGACAGTAGCAAAGACTCTATGAAAACATTCAGAACAGTCGGTCCTGATCTGAAGGCTTAGGTAAAAGTGTATGGTGGTGGAGATGCTCTTTCCAAGTCTCTTAAAGTCGAGAGACGATTTCCAACATATTTCCTGTTCTGTAAATTATTAAATAATAATAAGAAAGGAATTGAAATCTTTTGTAAGCCCTGTGACCCTGCTCAGTGCTAAAATGTGTTTATTTCTTTTTCTTTTTTTTCCTCTAATTGAAGCAGGCTAAAAGTCTGTTGCCTTGCCTAAGCAGCACTAAGCTTTTTTTTCCTTCTGACAGTTGTATTGTGTAGTGTGGGGCTGAGGCTCACTCTCACCAGGTGGACAAAACAACATAATGAGCCTTAGTGTGCCTTAAGTGGGCAGAGACCTACAAAACTTACACCTCTTTTGCTTTGTTGTAAATGTACTCTTGTTTTTTGCCCATAATTCATAGCCAAAAAACGATTAAAAAAAACTTTTAACAATTGGTTGAAGACTAATGCTGACCTAACTGTTAACGCTACCCACAAAGCCATCAGCCCGCGTGGCTCCAGAACTGGTGCGTACCCAGCCTCAGCCCCAGACCGGTGTCGTCGTGATACTGAGAAAGTCTCGGAACTTCAGTTCATGTGTTTCACATTCGACCTTCATGAGGGTTTTGGCCTGTGTTTTTATCAAGAGGTTTTGAAAACTATATCTGAGAAGGCCATGAAACAAAGGCAACCAACGGTTGTGATAAGAACGATAACTGTAAATAACCAAACACAGTGAGACGGGACTGACTGTTATTGCAGACGTGTTACTGCTTACTTACTCACTTCATCTCTTTGCTGCACACCTGATTTTATTTCTGAGTGTGTTTTCCATCGAGCTCTTGATGAACACCAAGCTGAGTGCAGCATATGCAGTACTGCACCACGCGCAGCATGGCTCTGGCACTTACACAGGCAGCCCTGGGTCCTTCAGAGAGGCGGGCTGCTGTCTGTTGGCTGCTCTCAGCCAAGTGGGGACAGTTTGCACTTGGAGACACTCCCTCGATCTCTAGGGATTCACAGGTTGGCGTACACAGGGAGCAGGATTAAATACGGGTGGAAGGGGGAGGGTGGATGTTGTTTTCAGGGATGAGGTTAGAAAGCCAAGGTAATTGACTGTTTATTGAACCATGGTTTAGTTTTGGTCCACAAAACTGGTAGGAATCCATAGATCGCGATAGAGATGAATTCCATATTCTATACCTGCAACAAGAAATCACGTTGGTCTTTTAAGTCTTTACATAAGAACATCTCAGGTGGAAAATACACTGCTATGCATTAGTTTTAAATGTCTGCTCTGTGGTTATGTCTTATCACCAACCAAGTCAGTCCTCTGTCCTCATTTATGTTCATACCTTTATTTATCACACTAGGTGAAAAAAACACCTCAGCTTGTTGTCATCGACTACAGTGATCGTGTGGAGAATATCTCCTTATATCGATCCACTGAGTTATTTAGGTGTTTGTGGAGATCCAGGCTCATGATCCAAACTGAAATATTTGAAAGGAGATGGGTTTGGAGGATCATTTGCACATTCCTACTTTCCTGTAGCTCTCTCCTGTTCTTCTTTCCATCTTACCTGCCCACTGGCCTTCAACCAGAGATCACACAGGCTCAGCAGGAGAATCCAAAATAGGAGATTGGAGGACATCTGCGAGAGAAGACTTGATTTCAGCTCTCAGTCACCTCGACTAGTCTTAGATTACATTCCGTACCTTCCTCCTCTGGCAGGTGTAAAGGATGAGAGTTGGAGGTGACATTTGTGACTTGGCTGATTTAGTCACTCTGTCCACCTTTGCTATCTTAAGTGACAGATTGTCTAAAGGCCCTTGGTGTACTGCCATGCAGCTGCCTGCCTTTGAGCTTCTGCAATTGTAACAAAGAACTTTTTCAAAAAGGCCATCCTGAAAGTTGTTGTGTTTTTGTTTTAGGGTCATCATTGTTGTTATGACTTTTGTTCTTCCTGTTGGTTCTTGTCTTCTTGTAAATTACTCTTTAAATAGAAAACAAATACGACTATGGATTTGTTTTTGTTTTTTTATAAAGGAGAAAAAGGTAACAATTACAAACTGCCACCTAATTTGAACATTCTACCACCGTACCTGGTGTTGTTAGCTGCAGCACGGTCACACAGTGGCAGTGTATGGTTAACAGGTTAACGGATAGTTCTCTCCCCTCATCTGCTCCCTGCTTCCCATCTCCAATCTTGTTTGGGCAGAAAAGTCGCTTGAGCGAAGTTTATGAGACTTCTTCTCTCGGAAAAAGTGAATCTGTATAACAGATGCAAATCATTCTGAGAAGGCTAGCTGAACTGAATGTTAGGCACGCAGTGTTGTACGTGCTGCCGAGTTTTGTTTGTTTGCAACAAATAAATGCACCCTCTGTGCTGTTAAAAGCTGGATCTGGTATCCAACATTGAGCTAAAATAGCCAAATTACCACCATTGACTTTTGGCAAAATGAACATCTGTAGGTGAGCAAAATGAATGCAATAGTGTGGATGCTATATTAATGATTATAAGAATATTCAGTAAAAAGTAGTTCAGTAAATAGTTTATTTGGGAGAAAAAGACATAGGCGACTATTTAAGGTAAACTGATACGTAACTGTGATAAATACGATGTATATTTCAGAGAGATGGAAGCCGCCCCAGTTCTCATTGCTGAGAATGTATTTGTGAAGGCACAGAGTCACAATAGG